CCCCCCCAGGGACACTGGGGGACATCAGGAACCCCCAAAAACAGCCCCTGGGGACAGTGGGGGTGACCAGGAACATGGGAGAGACCCCCCAGGGACACCAGGGACCCCCCCCGCAGCCCCTGGGGACACCGGGACGTGGCAGGGGGGAGCTTAAGGGTCCCCCAGTGTCACCAGTGTCACCCCTGGGGAACCAGAGGGCCACCCCAGTGTCCCCCCATGGGGACCCCAAGACCACCCAGTGTCACCCTGGGAGCCCTGATGGCCCCCCCCGGCCCCCCGCCGTGCTCCCAGTGCTCCCAGTGCTCCCAGTGACCTTCTCCAGCGCCCTGAGGACGCTCTGCCGCTCCCGCAGCTTCTGGATGCTCAGGGCGATCTTGTGCCGGGCGCCCTTGGTGACGTTCTGGGGGGACAGCGGGGGGGTCACGGCCCTGTCGGGGGGCCCGGGGACACGGGGGGGTCCCAGGGACGCCCCCAGCCCACCTGTGACTCCAGGTGATGCTCCGTCAGCGTCATCATCTCCTCGTAGCTCATCTGGGCGAACAGCGCCGCGTACTTGTGCAGCCGCAGGCTCTTGAGCCACGAGGGGACGTCTGGGGGGCCGAGGGGGGCTGTGAGGCGGCAGCCCCCCCCGAAGAACCCCTAACCCCCCCGGAGCCCTCCCCCAGCCCACCCTTCATGCCGCTGCCGTCCTCCTGGAAGGAGTTGCGCCCGCCGGGCTCCTCGGTGTGTTCGCTGCCCGACGAGGCCACGCTGCTCTGGGGGGACAGGGGGGCGTGTTCCCCGAACGGGGGGGGGGCCCTGGGGGCCGCGGGGGGGTCCTCGGGGCCCCCGCCCCCCGCCCACTCGCCCCCCTGGCCGGGCTGGGGGCTGCCGGGCACCAGCGACAGCGAGCGCTTCAGGGGGCTGGGGTGCAGCTGGCAGGGCAGGGCTGGGGGGCACAGGGGGGATCAGGGGGGTTGGGACCCTCCCCAGACCCCCAAAGCCTTGCTGGACACCCGGGGCCCCTCCCCATTCCAAAGTCGAACCCCCAGACCCCCCCGCACACACCGAGGGTTGGTGCCCCCCCA